TGTTTTTTGTGGGGGGGGGGGGAAATCAGATATAAGTGGATTGATACAAATTGGCAGGAAAGGCTGATTACTATTGTTTTAAATCCCGTACATATATTTATTGAAGATTATGCAGAAACATTAAACCATATTAATTTGAAACTAAACAAATACTGTCATTTAATTCTTTCAACAAAGCCTTGTTAAAAAGCCTTGTTTTAAACCTTGTTTGTAGAACTATTTTTATCTACCGTCAGAAGTTTGTTAAGCTGCCCCTTGAGACACTTGCGCAAAAAAATGGTGTTATAGTAACATTTTAAAAATATGAATGGCCTGCACAGAACAGAGATGGCTTCACAAGCTTGCCTCTATGATGTGGTTTGTTCAGAGATTAAAAAAGAAAGAGTTCCAAAACTATATTTGGCTTGGAATTGGAAGAGCAGATGCACCGGTACAGATTGTCTTAAAAGAGTATGGCTTCCTTTGGAAGAATGACAAATGAACACTCTGCGTGCGTATGCCAAGATCAGTTAATGTGATATGGAGAGCTATTTCTTTCAGAATTGTGTCTTCATGAAAAGGACATTTCCAAAATCTGTCTATGGCAATAGAGGGCAGATTGCTTCTATCTAGGCTCTCTGAAAGGCGGCTTTAAGGTGGTGAAATGAAGTCCACAGCCATGGCATAACTGGCACCATCTCCCTGTATGCTTTTCCTCTCTGGACCTGGCACTTGTGGGTTTCTTGTAAAACACTGTTACCTACTGACTGATCGTTCCATATAATATTAGTCCTAGAACTGATGAACACAAAAGTCTTGGCTTGCAAGGTGTCCAGTTCTATTACACTTGAACAGTAAGATTTAGGCCAGCGTGAAGAAAAAAGATGCCAAAATATGCCAGTCAGACATAATAGTTCAATTGTTGGTACTATTTTAATATATTTTAAAACGCAACTTCAATGTCACCCTCTATTTTTTTCACTGCCTGCTGTTAAGTATTGAAATGTTTATTGCATCATCAGTGAGTGAGGAAGCAAGGAATTCACACTAGATTCATTTGGACCCAGTTACCTCAACACAAAGGGTGGGTTTCTGTAACCATTTCATGAAACGGATTTATATATGTGTATCAGTGAAATAATGTATATTAGTAAGTAGTCCAATTTATGGTTGCTTCAGCATCAAGTTAAAAGTGATCCTTTGTGCATGTTAAAATGACGATGCGGCATGTATTGCAAATACAATATGGGGGACAGGATGTGTGTGGAAGCAATATAAGGAAGCAAAATGAAACACCTCCTTGCAAATTTCTTTTGGGAAACTGATTATTCAACAAAATTGGATTCCTGCATTGAGCCAGGGTTGGACTTGATAGTGTAAATAGCCTCTTCCAACTTGATGAAATACTAGTCCTCCTGATGTTGCTTGGTACAATTATGACTTCCTTCTAATTGGTCATGTTGAGTTAACCTGACTTCAGTTCTGAGTCTCGTACAGTAAGAATATCGACTTTTTGCTGTGTACCAAGGCTGGCACTTAAATTCCTAAGGATGAAATGTAAAATCCTGAACAAGCGTGAAAATTTTTCCCATAGTTTCTTTCACAAAGCAAAATAGCTTCCAAAAGTAGAGAGAATTTCTACATCTTATGGGTGCATCCCCTTAGATGTGCATCATGCCCTTCTTAATAACTGTTAAATACTTTATTACAGAGTCTAACCAATGAGGAAGTGTTTGTCTGAAAAGGGAAATAAATCTTTAGCGTAAAGTGGGTGGCTGGATGTGACAATATGATTATTGCACTGTCTCATTAAACCTAGGCCACCGTCTAATGTCCACAGCTTTTCCAAAGTCATTTTGAAAACGTAATTGCCAAAATGAGTGTCCTAATTTGTAAGTTCAGTCTGATCATGATTAAAACTTTGTAATTTACACAGGGAATCATAATTCTATAAATTTTTCAAGTGTTTAGAAACAAAATTTAAGAGTCATGGATACATGAACCCCTTCAAAAGTCTGGCTGGAAAATGCAACACCTAAAAAAACCCAGAATACATAACTGGCTTATCTTCATTCCAAAGTTCAACTTTGGAGGCACAGTCAATTATCTCAGATATTTCTCACCAGTTTTGCCCAAACCTTTAAAGTTACTTAGCCAAGCGAAAGGTGGTTATTGGAGGCTTAAATCCAGTAGATAGCACTGATGGAGTCATCAGATTCCAAGATGGAGAAAGCTAATTCATTACAGTCTGTATGCTAGAACAAAATCTAGTAAATATTCATCATCACTACCCCTATATGAACATCTCTGTACTGTACAGACTGGAAGGATCCAAGCTGTTAGCTTTGTCTCATAGTTATTATCCCTCTTCTGTTTCCCTTGTAAATGCAATGCCAAACTAGGAAGTCCTTCAGGAGTAATGAGGTCAAGTTTTGACTGGGTCTCTGTTCTAGGTCCGTGTGAAAATAGCAGTCCATGCTCACTGTAAGGACTGTAGTGGACTTTGTCACCGCAGAAGAAGAGCTGTTGTTCCCAGCAGAAAGAGGAGCAACATTAATGAGGCTGAAATTGCTGCAGCTCCACCACAATCTTGGGCATTTTCCTGAAAAAGAGAAGGCCAGCATGTGGTCAGCAACCCTAGCAATAAAGTAAGGTTGGCTGGGTGGGAAATGAAGCAGACTCTAATTATGGTTATAAGGGTACTGTTATACTTATTATTCTGTAACTGAAAGCTACAGATGACAGATCCTTTCCTACCTCTGGATGGAATGCATGGCAGGTGTCTGGTCGGCGTCTTAGTTTCTGGGATCGCATCCTGTCGCATTTCACTGAAGTGTTATGTATGCAGCTGTTAAGGCTAATAACAGTGTTTGAAAATGGAGAAATAGGAACATCTTACTTAAAATATCTATTTGCAGAGTCAGGCGGATGCTGGGCTGGCCAATAATTTCGATTTGCAACTAAAAATACCAACTTGCCTACAGAAATGTATTTCCATTGCACACACAGAGCATTTCCTGGTGCTGAAGCTAAGTAGGAGGCTTCTGCCCACATGGAGAACATTGCAACAATGGGACAAGCCTACACACTCCAGCAGAAAACCAGAGAGCCTTGTCACGTGCAGGAGGTTTCCTAAATATTTGTGTCACCCATTAGGAGTTCCAGTTGAGATGAACTGAAATTTGTGGGCATGGCTTAACACAAAATATCCTCAGATCTTACTGAAACTGATGGGACTTCATCACAACTCATCTGGCCCGCTTCCTTTATTATGACTTTTAACTAGATTGAGGCCACCTTGGGGAGCTGCACACCCTGGGAGCTTTCCTAGCCAGGCAGCAGGCTGAATCTATCGAAAGTAATGGATTTTACCTAACCTTGGACACAGTCTGGAACATGTTTTCAGCTCTGTGCTGAACTAAAGCTTGTCAGCTAAAGACCAGATGTAATGTTTCATTAGATACATTTTCCTATCCCTGCATGAGTTTTGTCTCTTTTCTCACCAACACTCTGGTTCAGGCTGAACATTTCAAAGCTATTCTGCAGAGTCTCAGCAGGTGATAGCTGAACTTACCTGGCCTTGGAAGCTAAGCACGGTTGAGTCTGTTTAGAACTTGGGTGGGAGGCTACTGGAGAATCCTAGAATAAGGCAATGGCAAGCCA